AGACTGATATCTCTGCGGGGCATCATGACATATAATTTATATTACTTGCTTTATAAAACAAACTTATAAATTTTTTTTTTTTATGAAACTTAACGGGGTCTTTATCATCTACGACAAGTTTCCCTTCAGATTGTCATATATTTCCATTAAAATTTCGTAATTGTGTTGAGCTTAAGTTAATTATGGTTCTTTTGTTTCATATATAAAAAAACATGTGAATATTTAAAAAGCATATGTAATTTTATTAAAACTGTTTCTATCAAAATTTCACAAATGTATTCTGACAACATGAATTCATGTTAAAATGTTTTCCAAAAATGACATAAAAAAGATGAAAAAAAAATCCAAAATGAAAAACAACTGTAGAAAAACGTACATCCTTCCAAATTTGAGACATGTGCATTTATCTCCCACTTTTTCATGTCAGCAGCAATAGTTCGAATATTTGTTTGAATATTCATCATCTTCCAGCCCGTTTTTCTCTTTAAGTGAAATCTGTGAAAAATGTCGAACTCAATGGAAAAAGCAGTGTTGACGAACTCAACGAAACGTTAAACGCATTCAGCGTATAAATTCAATCAACGTAAGGAAATAAATGAAGACTAGAGTTAAGTAGTACCAAACGTCATCCAAACAAAAATCCACACGTGATTTACAAAAGAAGCGCACTTAATATAAGCTGGGCTGTTGCTCCCTGGCTTAAACCCTTTGAAAAATGTTCGTGTTAAATGGCAGAGGAACTCTGCAGTTTGTGTAAAATGCAACCGAATGTAAGGAATCGGTTCTTTTACTCACTTAAAAACGCATTTTGACATTTTGCTGACAGCTTTGAAAAATATTTTCACTCAATCAAAATGCATTTTGCCGCTCATGAATCCTTGAAAATCGTTGCATTAAATGTTCGGCCATTAAAGAGAGAGCAGCTGCAAAAACAGCAGAGTTCAATTTAGTTTTTCGAAAAAATTTATAACCTATCAATTTTAATTAAAAATGGAAAGAAACATTTTATATTTTTTTTTGATTTTAAATGCATTTTCCTCGTAACAGTTCAATCGTTTTAACCCTCAACAATTTTTCAATGTTGTAACTTTAACCCCAATGTGACCACTTCAAACACATACCATACTCCTTCGCACGTTTTTTTTTTTATTGCTTTTTTAACGTCACTCAATTTACATTTCTAGCACTTAATTTTTTTGGACTCGGTATGTGTATCTGACGAAAAGTATAAAATCGAAACGCACGATTCATAACACTTAATAGATACTAATTTACAATTACTCATTTATTCGTTTATAATTGTTTTCGTTTCAATTTGTTAAGTTTTTTTTGGCCGCGAGCCAAAGTGTGATAAAAGACTGGCATCGTAGTGCCGTTCCGAGTGCTTTAAAATTTTTCCCCATTATTTTGATTTCTTTCCGAAGGTTGGCAGGCAGTGCATGTTGCAATTTATTGTTGCGATTTTCACAAAGAAAATATTTCGATTTTCATGTACAAAAAATTCTCTATTCTGTTCGGTTAAGTTCATGGCATACTTCTGCTGTAGTACAAAATTTAGATAATTTTACATTAAAGTAAAATTAGATACATTTTGTAATACTTACACGTACACATATTCGTGGTATAAAATAAAGAAATATTAAAGGCTTAGTTATGTATTTACAATACTAGAATGCTTACAAGCACTTCGTTGCAATTCTAAAAGATTAGCAGAAGAAATTTATCGATTGATTTTTTATCGATAATTTATTATTTATCAATGTTAGATGGTTTAAGTAAAAATATATTTGGCAATACGTTTTGTGCTGACTTTGTTTTGAAAATGATATATTTTATATATCAAGAGAGAGAAGTTCATTTACAAAAAAAAATAAAACAGAAATTTAATTAGATTTAATATTAATATTAATAATATTTAATATTATATTATTACTAGATAACCCGACAAACGTTGTTTTGCCTTATAAATTATTTCTAGTTTCTAGATAAATTCTAATTTATAATTTCACCGTTTTTGTTCATTGGAGGAGCATTAACATTAGTATTTTCTACTCTAAACACAGCCATATCACTGCCTTTATGGACATACTTATATATTTGATGCTCTTCACAGAACTGCAAAACTCGACATTAATATGAGCATTGTATGTTTTGCTTAGCAGAGGCGAATACGGCACCACCCGCCATTGTTCCCCATTATCGGGATTTCTTCGACGATATATTGGATAT